CTAGTAGCTTCTTGTTCCTAGTAGTAAGGCCAGGAGCCCCTAGTAGCGTCCTTGCTCCTTGCTCAATTTCAGTGGTGCGTGCGTGCGGTGGCGGTGGCTGCTTTGGACCGGTGCGCCATGCTGGGTGCCACTTCGATCGAAGAACATCTTCTTGGCTTTTTCACTTTGGAGTGTCCAATACTAATAGCGATGGAGTGTCTAGTACTTTCAAAGAAGAGCTTGCCGGATCCTCGTAGAGATGGTAGAGCGCTTCTTGCCCCAAGCCACAAGCTCACGAGAGCCCTTGAAACATGTTCACGAGTGCCCCAGGACAACGAATCACTGGATGACAAGTTGTAGGGGTCTCAGAGCGCGCTCAACAGATCGAATGGTCGAATGAGAACGCTATCTTCTTGTTGCTAGTAGCGATGCCAGGAGCTACTAGTAGCGTCCTTGCTCCTAGTAGCGATGCCCTTTGTTTCTAGTGGCTTCTTGTTACTAGTAGTTTCAAGAGATGTAAAATATGTTTTCTCGTTTACGCGAATGCTGTCTAAGCTTTCGCCTGTTTGTATAGGAAACGCATCACAAAGCTCGGCAAGGAGGGCGACGTGGATGCTTTAGTGAAGGAGGCCTAGCCAGGGGCATAGCAGATTTAGTGCAATTTCATTCTTGCCATTGGTGAGTTGTGCCAACATCGCATGCGATATTCCGCAGCTGTTTTCTGGTGTACTAGCGGCCTCCAACCGGCGGCCTCCATTTTAGCGATAGAATCTGATATTAGTAACAAGTGCATCGCTAGTAGTAACAAGTGCCTTACTAGTAGTAACAGGTGCCTTACTAGTAGTAACAAGAAGCATCGATTAATACAGCTCGGTGTCTCTTGAGACCGGTCTGGTGCCAGGCCAAGCTAGCGGACTGCAGTCCAGACATGATGTCCTTTGCCTCTCAGAAAGCCAAGGCGAAAGCGACTTCCTACTCGATTTACGCCTGTTTCAGTATACACTTCAATGCTACTCGCAGAAAGACCTCACAGGCTGATAGACTAATAAAACTCATAGAGTCTAGACTCTGAACCTGGTTCAACCGGGAACCGTCGATGGCTTCGCGGCTTTGCGCCAGGACTTGGGGAACATGGCGTTTCAGAAGCGTGAATACGCCGCTCAGCTGAAAGTTTTTTTTTTTCAAAACCGCTCAGGATGTGAATGTTTTTCATTCTCTCCATAAGGGACAACATATCATGACCTATATTAGGACAGCATGATATCAATACAAATGTGACAAACCATGAGAAAGACACCCGATTCTGGAAATGTGAGAAGATGTGACGGAAAGGAATCACCCGCATTTACAGTCTTGGACTTGCTCCCCAGTCTTTTCGCAGCGACTGAAACAGCTCGGTACAGGAGCAAGCTCTAGAATACTATGCTGGAGCTTTGCTTGGGGTGACTCGGAGAAGCTGGTTGCACCGGATCCACACGGCATTTTGCCTCACTTGGATGTTTTGGATCCCGATTGCTTTGATCTTGTAAGCCTGGCCGGGAGCCACTCCAATCCAAGTTGAACATGAGCTGTGCGACGTGTTGAGTGGGTGAATCGAGGATGTCCCTGAGAAACACAAGATTTTCAGCAATCGCAGGGCCCTCAGAGCACCAGGAAGAGGCGTCGCCGGAACAGGCGACCCGTTTCATTCACTCAGACCCGAGCCCCACACTCTGCTTTTACTCCGTTAGACCTTTAGACCCACATCGTTTCAAAGAGCCCTGAATAAGAGAAGACACCAGTCACAAAGTGCAAAAAAGGTGATGCTTTAAGGCCTTAGCTTGGGCTCAGGTTCAGCTTGCCTTTTTCAACTTGGAAAGTACACAGAGGCCATACGAACATGTACAGACGCACCATACGGACATGTGTCTTGGCACATACTTTCGAAAATCTAGGAACCCTCCTGTGGATTCCCAGCTCTGCATCTATACAAGTAGCCCCTTCGATATATTCTCTCAACTTCCTTTTGGCCAAGTTTAGACAAATCTGTTTGTTGTCTTTTCATTTTTGTCTACCTCGGTATGCTCGCGTGTATGTGCCTTGCCACACCAGGCCTTGGTGGAGGCGACGAAAGCCATCAAAGAGAACCGAGCATGGCGAATGCCTCGACGTGTTCTCTAAAGACATTCTTTTCTACCAGTCTATTTTTCTTCAGACTTTTCGATAATTGTTTGCCTTTTACTTGTGTTTTCTTTTTTGGTTTAGAGTTTAGACCTTTCATTGGACCGGTTCTTTTTTGTTTTTCCTTAGACCTTTCTTCTTGCATTGTTTGTTTCTTCTTCTTTTTCTCGAAAACATGGTGACTGCATGTTGTTTCTTTTTTTCGTGAAGGCATAAGGCATTCTTGTTCAATTCAACGTCCACACCGATTTGGAAAAAAGAAGACATGAAAGAAAGAATCAAAAACAATTCTGTTGTGGGGGCAATGGGGGTGCATATTGTTGAATTGTGGATGAAATCCTCAACCCGGGGATGGCAAGAGTTTGCACATTTGTGAGAAAGTGAAATGAGTGAAACTACTTGTGAAACGATCATATTGGCACGCCATTGGCACACAATTGGCACGCATGGTTGCGGGCTTTGCCAATAACATACCTTTTATTAGTCATGTTTTTCGATTCTATGTTGGCATTCGTTTCCTTTGTTTGGTCCTTATTGCTGGTAGGTTGAAGGCCATCGCTACTAGTTCCTTATCCATCCCAGGTCCAAAGGTTATTTCCGTGCCGGCCGTGCAGCCTTGGAGCGCGGACACCGAGAAACCGAGTGAGCCGGAGAGTCGCGACTTTCGTTTTGGTTCTTTCCCCTCCTTTCACGTGAGGGTCTCTTTAGAGTTTAAAAAAAGAGGGTGCTCCTTCTTCTTCTTCCTTCTTCCTTCTCCGTCCTCATGTCACAGCGAGTGCCAGGCCTGTGCACCACAGAGAGCGCCAGGTTAGTCTGGGCACGCGCGGACTCTGCCATCAAGAATGCCAGAACATACGCCAGAAAGGAGGATGTCTCACCGAACACATGCCGCCAACACGGCGCAACCATGTCTGGAGCCCCACTGGCTTGTCGTCAATCAAGGCAAAAAATCCAGGCAAACCTCAGATGGGTTTGGTGAAAGCCAACTCACAGACCAGCCTCTGTTGGCACTCTCCGCACCTTCCAACTGGTTCGGTATAGGACTTGCAGGACGAAAGATCTTGCAACACCAGCGTCGCTTCGGGTAGATGTGACCACACTTCCAATGACTCCCAATATGCCAGATCATCATCAAGGGGCATCGCGTATACTAGTAACAAGGGGCATCGCTACTAGGAGCAAGGACGCTACTAAGTAACAAACCAATCTACCAAGCCTACACAATCTTCCAAATCGGCATGCTTTGAACATGCTTGGCAGCATCCGCAGCGTGGTGTAGCTGTCGCAGCGGCCGCTGACATTGAAGAAAGGCTATGCAAGAGGGGCTATGATCTCCATCTCCGCTTCAGCTGCATTTCCCTGCAAGACCATACCCAAAAGAGCAAATGATTTCAAAACCCTCGAATGCTGGCCGAGCCCAGTGCTTGAAGCAGGGTTTCGGGGCGGCGGTGGCAGCAGCAGCAGCATCGCTCCACTCGCACGCTAGCTGTGCTACTTCAGCGTGCAGCCCAGAGCAAGTCTGGCATTTGGCACTGTCTAGATCTGTCTAGCATAGCGTGTTGGATGTCTTCTGGCACTCTAGTTGGCATATCTTCTGACGCCCTTTTTGGCATTCTTACTGGCATATCTTCTGACATTTGGCATCCCTTCTGACATTCTATCTGGCATATCTTCCGGCCACCCTTTTCAGGTGGTCAGCTGACATGTTTCGCATATGCATGTGGTCTTGGAACCTGCCAGGTGGATTCCCCTGCATGTTTCGTGTTTGATTTAAGTCTGCCATGTTTGCAGAATTTTCCATGTTTTGTTTCAGGCGGTTTGCTGACATGTTTGTGCCAACACTTCGCACCTTTGGAAGTCCCAGCGATGTGACAGGTTCAATCGAGAAACTCACTGCGCTTGAGATGATGAAACAGTGTTGGGATGGATGCAGTGCAGTCGTCTGAAATGCCACGGTGGGGATCACACGAAGCAACTCCTGTTCTTTTGTGTTAACTTATTTGGGCTTTTCTTGTTCGTTCAGGTTCGAGTTCTCCCGTGGAACTCTTTCGGTGGAATTTTTTGTTTGCGATGTGCTGCAGGATGGAGTACTACCAGGAAGCCTCGGAAATGTTTGAGAAGGGCCTTGAGAAAGAGCTGCTTGGATTGAAATAGACACGATGCAATGTGCTATTTTGGTGTAAGTGTTGGATTTCAACAAGAAACATTCTGTCCTTTCAATCGCTTGTGCCCAAATAAGAATGCTTTACAGTGTCTTGTACTTGACCGCTCCTTACTGCCATAGTCACGCCTCAATTTCAAAGTTTAAAAGTGGTCCAGGCCTAGCAACAAGGATCTGGTGGCTTGGGCTCAAAAAGCGCGGGACATCAGAAACCAGCATCAACAGGACCCGCAGGGCCTTGCAGCTAGCAAACTGTGGTTTTGTTGATTCTCCTGAAGCTGAAAGCTGTACGAGTCTTGCATATTTCAGCAAAGGTTGATCAGGGAATTGTTTCGCCATCCAATTCTGGGAGCTGCGCTTAAGGCCTCAATGAAAGGGTTGGCTGCGCCAAGCTGTTCTGCCCAAATTGCCATGCAATTCATGTTCGCTATTAGGTTGGAGGCCATCGCCAACAAATTTCATGTGTTCATGCAAGGTTAGCAAGGTTGGATTTGTTCCGGGTGGTTCAAGGTGTTTTTTTTCTTGTATGGCTATTCTGTCTTGCGGGATGATGTTCGGGTTCAATACATGTTTCAGTGACTTCAGCACTTCCGGTATTATGTTTTTGGAGCAGGGTTTCCTCGCTTTAAAGAACTTTCGGAAACAAAAAGAACATGTTTCATCTCGTTTTATTGCAAGGCACGGAATGGTGTAGTGTCATCTGAAAATGACCTAACTCAGAAACAACTTGAATGGGACCTGTCTTTTTGGCTCTCATGTGTAACATGAAGCTAAGCGATTTGGTCTCCACTCTATGCGATTTGGGGACTCTATGGAGTTCTTGCCTACCCCAAGTATGTTGTGTACAGCTTCTGGGCGATTCGCTTGAGATCTAATGCTGTCGTGCTGTCGCCTTAGAGTCATGTTTCTCGACGCTGCATGTGTTTCTGTTTGAGGAGAAGCTGGTGAAAAAGCATACCACGGATTACTCCAAGTTCGATTCGCTTGTGCAGCAACAACAAGGCGAAGAAGATGAGGAGGAGGACGTCGACATGTGTCGATTTTCTACCAAGAATTTTTGATCTGTGCATTTGCAGATATGTTGATTCTGAACTAGCGATGGCCTCCACCCTAGTCATGTGCAGAGGCTGCGAACGATCCCAACCGCATCATCCTTGGGGACAAGTGCCGACCGCTTTTCGAGTCGATGGACGTTTCACCAACGAAGCGCAACGATTAAAGTAGCACTTTCTAATTAAAGTCTATAGCTTCTTATTGTTTCTACTAGCAAACATTGTTACTACTAGTAAGGCACTTGTTACTACTAGTAAGCGATGCACTTGTTCCTAGTAGCTTACCTAGGAGCAAGAAGCTACTAGCTCTTTGTTCCTAGCAGCTTCTTGTTCCTAGTAGCGGTGCCAGGAGCCCCTAGTAGCGTCCTTGTTCCTAGTAGGAAGCGACGCGCAATGTGCTAGGGGGATTTATGTCTATGTGATTTGAGCAGTGAGCTGGCTGAGGACACAAAACGCTGCCTTGACAACTAGTAGCATCCTTGCTACTAGTAGCAATGCCCAACAGAAAAACCACTTTAGCCGATGACAAAGCTTTGAGATTGCATTTCGCGAGGCTTGCAAAACTGCACAGCGCCATTCAAAGCTTTGTTTTGCCCACACAGTGCAGCACAGCAGCCCAAAAACCTTTTGCAAAGGCATTTTCTACCTGGTATATGGCTCCCTCTTGTAAAATGACGTGTGAAGTCTAATCACGATAACTTATTATTGTTCCAGTCAGACTGGAATGTATGTATCAGGACAATTGATGTCATTGTATGTTACCGGTAGTGTTACTGGTGTATACGAAGTACGCGGCTTTCGGTCATTTGCAATGTGGTCATTGATGTGAAGTATGTGGTCCGGTGGTGCAAAATGTGGGACTTGGTTTGCCGCGAATGGTGCGGCAGTTGGTGGTGAAGTGTTGTGGAGGGAAGATACTTTTCGAGCCTGGACATCTCAACTTGGTTGTAGCATCTTCCTAGTAGCGTCCGATCGCTCCTAGTAGTAAGGCCAGGAGCCCCTAGTAGCGTCCTTGCTCCTAGTAGCAATGCCAGGAGCCCCTAGTAGCATTCTAGCTACAGAAATCTCTTCTTTCTCCAAAAAACTCGACATGTCAACAGGTCCGTTCTGCATTTGTTCTGTCGTCACTTACGCAACTCTGTAAATTGGCTGGTTCTATTGACTTGGCTGTTCTATCTGACGTGCTGATGTGCTGATGTGACACCTGCATGACGTGGTGCGTCCTGGAGTTTTGTCCCGGAATCTTTCCAACTGAGAGCCCTTTGGTACGAACTGCGCTCCCCCAACGCCAATGCGCGAGATAGGCCTAAACAATCGATGCTGTGGAAACCGTCTTGGGTGAACTGCTGTCAACATGTATACAGTATATTTTTATTACATACCATCTAAAAAGATACATGGAGCACCGGACGCTGTCGCATCGGCGGAGCAGTCAATGAAGGGCAGTCGATGTTCGTCACTTGTTTCTTTCCTTAGAACCTTTCTTTCTTCGCTTTTTTCTCCTTATAGATCTGTCTTTTTGGGGACCCTTCTTTCCTTTTTTTTGGATCGTTCTTATTCTTTTCTTTGGATCCATCAAGAGTCAACTTGGCACTTGGGGCCTCAATGTCGATGGCCCTCAGCAAATGTGAAACCATGCCCCAACCCACTCAGTATGGCTTTCGACTTTGCTATAGCTGTAACAGCTCTCTGTTTGTAAATGTCAAAACAAACAAAAATCATTTCATATGGATGTTGTTGGATTTTGTTTATATTTTCCATCACTCATCCGATGACAGGTACTACTCGTCGTCCAAGATGGAGAGATCGAAGTCTTCACTTGGCCGTGTAGCCGCGAGTGCTGTAGCTTGCTAGTAGCAAGGTGCATCGCTACTAATGACAAGGGCATTACTAGTAGCAATGTTCGCTATTAGGGGCTCCTGGCATCGCTACTAGGAGCGATCGAACGCTACTAGGGGCTCCTGGCCATACTACTAGGAGCAAGGACGCTGCTAGTAGCAAGAAGCTACTAGTCAGCTTTATGTGCTTCGTCGAGCGTGACAGGAGCAGCGGCAACTGAAGGCCATGCTGGGCTATAAAGAGCCCCCGTAGCCCCGACATGGTTTGGAAAACGTTGAAACAACTGACTATGCTTTTACTTCTTAGCTCAACTCAGCTCTATAGAAAACGTGTATATAATGAAGATTTTGTGAGTGCAAACTTCGAATCCAGGCCACCCCCCTTTCGAGCCCAAGTTTGACACGGAAGTCATCTACAGGTGCAGATATGCTTTGATATGTTAGGTTGCTGGTAACAAGAACGCTACTAGTAACAAGAAGCTATTAGTGGCTCCTGGCATCACTACTAGGAGCGATCGGACGTAACTAGGGGCTCCTGGCCGTACTACTAGGAGCAAGGGTTACGCTACTAGTATATGTGAGTCTTCCACACGAAGACTTTGGAGGCATGACAACCGTGGAGAAAAGACGCAGCATCCGATTTGGGTGAAAGGCTCAGATTTCGCCCTACGGACTCATCGTTCTTTTAAAGGATTTTGCGTCCTTGCTCCTAGTAGCAAGGCCAGGAGCCCCTAGTAGCTTCTTGTTACTACTAGTAAGGCACTTGTTACTAGAAGCGATGCACTTGTTCCTAGTA